TAAGCCAAGTTGTCATTCTGGTAAAAGAAGTAACAGTGACATTATATAGCAGAGAGATTGACCAAGCCAGGGGGAAGAGTTAAATGGGGAATTAGTGTAGAATCCCTGCATGGGCACAACAAGGGGAAGTGTCACTCACTCACATTCTCTCACACCACACACCTTGAATGCCATTGAATCTTATGTAGTCTCATCCAGATACAAACTGAGAAGATACTTCTGTATAGGCTTGAGCAATAAAACAGCTAGTTGAACTCTTCAAATGTGAGTCTTGTTGTATGCTTCTGACATGCTAAGTTTTTATTATGCAAAAATTTCCTGAAAAATCTATCTTATATTTGATTTAACATCCTTTTTAACTCGTTTAGGGAGATAAAAGCTGTTCTTTTGTTGTTGTTATTATTGTTTTACCACAATATCAAGAAAGAATTAAAAAAATGTTCATTCAAGGCAAGTTATTCATTCAAGATAGAGGAGGGTGTTTTAGATACAGATTAAAAAGTACTACAGGCTACAATAATGCTAAGGTTTTAACATTACTCTAATATAATAGAGATTTGATTATTGTGAGAAATTATGTGATTCACAAATATAATATATGTGATTCACACATATACTAAGAGAAAGGGAAAGTGCAGAATAATTGTTTACAAGTGCCATTTTGGTTTTGAATAAGAAAACCTCTACTTAAATTCATTACATCTTATCAAACCAACCAAAAGATCAGAAAAATATATATTCATAAAATCAAATGAGCCATTTCAATAATGATAATAAAAAAACACATAGCGTATAGAGCCAGTTATCTTCAAAGTCTCAAAAACTCATGGGAAGAGAACTTTAAATCTAAATATAGTGAACTATTTGTTGTAAAAATTCCTTTCCCTTTTGGAAGCTGTCTATTGTTGATCACCACAACAATCCATCTTCCATTTAAAATTATATTACAGCATTTAAACATTTCCTAGATCCTGTTTTTGGAGGGGTATTCAAATTGAGCTAGATTTATTATCTTGGGTGGCAACGGCCATTGCACTTTTAATTTTGGTTTAAAGAAACTGAAAAAGTCAACAATGCTTGGCTATTCATTTATCCTGATATTTTCTCGGACTTAAAACATTGTAAATATGACAAAACATCCCACATTCCCAAGTTAAGTCTTGACTGTGAAATAAAACCCTCCATACCCCATTTTGTTTCCTGCTTGCTTCAACATCAGTGTCTTGATTCTAACACTCTGGCCTCTTTCAATTGGTTTTTATAAAATTCATAGTGCCATGATGTTATGTTAGCTAATAAAGTAGCAAGTGTCATTTTATCACTGGTGTCACTAAAGATGAGCAAGGATGATGGAGAGTCAGTTAAGGCCAAAGTTATTATGCTCTACGAAAAACACTGCTATCAGCCTGATAACAAAGGTTAGTGCTCTTTAAATTCCTTGCTACAGGGAGGTTAAAGTTTATGTGTTTAATGTAATGTCCTCCCTAGGTGTTGTGCTTTCTTGAACTGTGTTTACTTGGCTCTTTGTTGAGAGTTGCTTTCTTTTGGGTAAACTTGACAAAAGGTGTACTATGCATACATGTAAAAAACAAGCCTAAAACTGTCTCCTATTGTTACTTCTGCTCTGTTCGCTGTTCTGTGTGTCAAGCAGATTAGGTTGCAAAGGGACCTCAAATGTTGTTTTATTGTTGCTACGGAGATTTAAAATTGTTTATGATTTTTGTTATATCTTCGGTTATTTAGGCATTGAATGAGGCAGAGTGTTGAAACAGCAACAAGTTTATTAACTCAAGCAGCCCTAAAGGCTGCTGCACAGCTATTTATACAGTTAGCCTCTAGGTGGCAACCAATAGGTTTAAAGTAACAGTTTCCCGCCCCAAACCCATTATCAGCTTGGAGACAGCCAGTCTGGCTTTCAGTAACAGCAACTGTTAAACAATACAGCAATGTAGGTCAGACATTAAGCAAGTGATTTAAAACAGTTGTGGCCAATACATTACAGTTTTCTTTAATCACTCTGAATAATTTTTGTAGGTTAAGTAATAATACTCTGCATGTGCTTTTTATAGTTGGTTTAGAACTAAACAAATAACAGAGGAACAAGGGTTGTTAACACTATTTGGTATGGTTGGTTACTGAAAATGTTTTCGAATTTTGTCGCACAGAAACATGGAATTGTCAGAAATTTGTCAAGTGCAGGTGTTTTGCTTCAAGTTCTGAACAATTTTTTAAAAGTTCATTTTATGTACCTTTCTAATCTTTCTTTGCCTCAATGCTATTTCCCACACTTTAAAATAAAGTGTGGAAAATAGCATTATTTAAAAAATAGCAAAACAGCAACCATGTTAAAGATCCCATCAATTAATAATTATTTTATTGTTATTGTTATTATTTGTATTATTCATATTTTTATATATTTTTTTCTTTACCGTTGCCTTAAAATTGTCTTGTTAGAAATATAAAATTCATAAATTCAAAAGATATGAATGTACTCTACAGGTATTTTGTTGTTGTTATTAAATTAGATTTTTATTTTTCCTAAATGATTCTGTTATTAATAATGGTAGTGGTTATAGTATTGGTAAGCAATAATAGTACCAGTATTTTTTATTGCTGCCTGAATTCTTGAAGGCAAGGTAAGATCACAGTCAACTGATTAAACTAATAAATAGAAATAAAAAATAATATTCTGAATGCTTAATACTAATGGTTCATTAATATCAATAAAACAAAAACACTGCAAGGTCTGTGGCTGAGTTTCCTTTCATTTTTGGAAAGTCTGAGGGCTTCACTACTCACAACTAACACACTTATTGTTTTGTCACAATGAATTCCTTCAATGAAATGACTGTCACTGGAGAATAAGGCAAACAATTTTGTTATGGCCATTGTCAATACTGCTAACATTGGATGTTCTTGCTTTGACAACAGATGGAAATGTAGCCATCTTTTCTCTTTCACTTTTAGAGTTAATTGATGCTGGGAGGGGGGATGTGGATGAGAGTCCAGTTAGTCATAACAATAATAACTCAGTTGTGGGAATCCAAGGTTATTGCGCCCAGAGTTGATAAAGATTTGATGGGCTGGAAAGCTGGGGAGAAAGCCTGCACTTCAAGCTAATTGTGATTTATGACGGTTAATTGGAAGAGGGAATTGTGCTTTGCTACTTTGTGCCCAGGGAAGGGGAATTCAGTTTTTGGCTTTAACTATGTAGTGCCAATTCTTTGTTTCTCGAATAAAAGATTCTTTAAGGTAAACAATGCCTCAAAGTTTTTTTGAAGAGTTTCATCTGTTGGAACCATGACAGCCATGACATTTACATACCTATTGAAAAAAATCCTAATAATTCATATTAACAAAACTACATTGTAATTCAGAATTCTGAATTTTTCAGTTTGAGAAAGAGGGAGAAACCTCTTCATTTCTGCCCTCTGCTTCTGTACCTTTATTTGTTCATTTGATTTCTGTACTGTTCTGTTTCCAAAGATGAGGTATGGAGACGAAGCAGAGTAACAAAAACAGTCTTCCTTTATTGCAGTTTACTAACAGAACAGAGAAAAAAAATGGCACAGGCCCTTTTATAGTCCCCTGGCAGGGACAGCATCAGCCAATCATTCCATGCCATTTTCCTGCCTTGCGCATGCACACCAGGGTGGAGACAGCCTGTCTGGTCCCGGGCAACCACGTGGTCTGCCTGGGCCTTTCTGCAACTTTCCTGAGCCTGCTGAGTCATTCAGCAGGCCCAGGACACCACAAGTACAATCTCTACTACCAATAATGCCTGTATATTGATTCCATGACCTGTAAAGTTACCACTATCTTTATCTTTTTGACATTACTTTCTTATTTTTTTCCCACACTCCACCAAAATAAGAGGAGGGATATATAGGGAAGGTATGGGTGGCATGCTTTTAAATGTAGCTAAGACTACCAGTTGCCCAGATACAATAATCAAATTAATATGCAGTATTCAGATTCAGGAACAAAAATAGATGTATTCCTGATCCTCCCTCTCTTCAACTGAACTGACAAAGTAGTTTATTAACCTAAGGACTTGCCTGAAGCTATTATTCTTTGATGTCCTTTAGCTAAATCTCAGGAAGATAGTCCATCAAATTTATATATACACTGGCTCTTGGAAAAGAGCTATGCTCACATATGCACGTGATCCAAAATACTGAATCATTTTTGAAGCATTCAGAAGCTTCAAAATAATATATACACTATTTGTGTTACATATGCCTTTTTCATTTACCTCCTTTTTCTACAGTATTTTGCCCCTTTTTCTTAGGTTTCTGATCTAAGACTGATAAAAATATGAACAGGAAGCCCAAGAACAGCAATTTCAGACTGATCCCAACTGACAAAACACAAGCTGATTGATCATATGAATCAATCAATTTACATCAAGATTTTTGAACAAATTGAATATTAATATGTTACGTGGTAAAATGAGTATAGTATTGAAATTTGTTTCTCAATTTCTCTTAAATGTGTGAAGCATTGTCAGAGCCCTTTCAAATTTTTAAAGAATTTTTATAACCTTATATTATTACTGTCAAGTATAGAGGGTGCAGATACATCCTGTTTTTTTCTGCTACCTGTCTGTGCAGCCTTCTTGATTACCAAATTTTTTTGACCTGAAAAGGCTTACAGGAAAAGATCCTTTAAAGTGTCTTTCCTGGGGACTGAATTGCACCAGGGGAATGTCAGAGAGAGTTTTGTACAATAAGAACAACAACAACAACAATAATAATAAAAACATGTTTTTTTACACAATTTAAGACATCTTATAAATAAGGGAAGTGCAGGAACTTGTTAATGATCATTTTAGGAATTTCATTTCAACTAAATTTCATTTTCGTTAAATTAAAGAATTATTTCAAAAAGGCAGAATAAACTTGAACGTGGTAGTTGTAAGCCAATCACAACTCAATATAATTGTTCAAAATTAAGAGAGAAGAGTTTAAACCCCCCCTTTTAAAACATTTATTTGACAGTGATTCCAGAATTCATTGCTCAAGTCAACACTGCACTGGAAAACTTAAGCAGGAGTACGATTCATCTGTTTGATGATAACCAATTTGTTGACATCTCTAAGAAGATTTACGACACAGTTCATGACATTAGATGTTCCGTTATGATGATTCGGGTAAGTGTTTGATTCTTTCACTCATTTCTAATTAACAGATGTGTCATTAATATTGCTATGCAACATTAATAGGGGCCAGAAATAGCAGTTTCAGGGGTATTTTTTTCAGTATAATAAAACGTATTAGAATGCTGCTGAATAAAACCATATTATTGCATCATGGACCTATTATATCTACTACAAGTAAAAGAAATGCACTGCAAACTTCTTCCCTATGTCCCAGGACTTTTCTTGTTTTTCTAAAGATATACTGTAAATAAACAATGATGGGAAATAGCATTTCAAACTGTAAATGTTTCTTATCTCTAAATACTCCCCACATGCAATCAGCATGTGGGTACAGCAGAGGCTATCCTGCCCTTATAGGAAAGTAGAAGTCAGTCCCTGGGATTCAAATACCCACAGGCCAAGCACACTGAGTCAGAGGCATCTTCAAGTTCACTCCCAGCAGCATGGTGCTTGAATCTGAAAATTGGTGAATACTCTTCTCTGATGTAGATTGAAAGACAAACTGTTGGGGCTACATTGCCAAAGGGATTGAGGTAAACAGAATCCGAGTTCTTTCCATGCAGTCATTTATTTGAAGTCAGGCTCCGATTCCAGCCTTCTGTTCCATTTCACAGAAAGCAAAAACAGTAGGAAGCAAAGAAATAGCTAGACCTTAAAAGGTGAAGCACTTTATAGTGCAGTGATGACAAACCTATGGCACGGGTGCCAGAGGCAGCACTTGGAACCCTCTCTGTGGACACATGTGCTGTTGCCCCAGCCTTGCCTCCCCCTGCAACCCCCTCCTCTCCAGCAGCCCCCCTGAAGGAGAGTCACCCCCGAGCATGGCCCACACGGAGCAGCGCAGCCAAAAACATGGCAGCCAGGCAGCGTAGACAAGACTCTGCCCTCATACCCCATCATGCAGTTGATGCTGCAGGGCGCGAGCAGAGGGTATGGCCACCATAGCGCTGCTGGGCTGCCTGGGTGATCTTTGGCGGGCCCTGGAGGCGGTGAGTGGTCCTGTGGGCAGGCGGAGCAGGGGATGGGGGGCAGAGTGGGGGCAGGGCAGGGGGTGGAGCAGGGGCGGGGCCAGTTTTTGGGCACTCGGTCTCTAAAAGGTTTGCCATCACTGTTATAGTGTAACAGTGACTCTTCATTTTATTTCACTCTTCATTGCTTTTCATTGCTGCTCCCTTTTGTCACCCATAATCTATCCTTGTGGGAGTTCCATTTTCTATTCATACTTCTGTCCTTTGGGTGCTATTTTCAGATGCTCCGTGTCTTCATGTCTTTTTTTCTTTTTCCTGCACAAGCACAGGTTTTACTAGATGCTCCTGCAATAATTACTATAAATATAGAATACTATATTGTCTTGCTCCTCCCAACTGAATGATAGTCACCCTCTGCAGCAGTGTTCTTCAACCTTGGCAACTTGAAAATGTGTGGACTTTAACTTTAATTTCCCAGCCAGCATGCTGGGAGTTGGAATCTACACATCTTCAAGTTGTCCAATGGAGAAACACTTTCTACAGTTTGTTTGGGCAGCCCTGGACTAGCAAGGAAGAACACCAGCTGGCTTTATCTGTCTAAAGCAGAGTCAGAGATACTGGTCCCATACACTTGAGGAAACCATATTAGAATCTTTAAATCCAAAAGATTCAGTGCTAGAAGTGAGTCCTTTGATTTTTATATGCAAATTAGTTAGAGATGATAGGCAAGTTTAGCATGTTATTCATGCTTATAAAAGCTTTTTAAAAGTTTTATAGAAAAGTAGATTCTTGCCTGTACATCAAAAAACCAAATTATTCGCCAACTGACACATTCCTTTCAAGTACTGCACCCACATGGACGTAGTCAATGCAGAATGAACACTTTTCTTTATTATCAGATGAGCAAATTCATCAACACATATTTCTAAGGAATGTTGACTCTCATCTCTGGAAAGGAAAACAAGTTTTCTTTCTAAGAAACACTTTTTAATTTTATTAGCATACCATACAATGATAAATATTTTTTGCACAATTCTTCTAAGAGAAGTTGCAAAATACTGGGCTGATGTTGTAGGGACTACGTGACATTGCAGTTTTCAGAACAAAGCATAGATAGATATTAAATTTACACATGAAATGAACACTTCAAATATGCTGTTTACCGTTTTCAAAGTGCTATTATCACTGACTCTTTAACCATGTATGAGATACATTGGCCATTTTTTAAAAAAGTATTGCATAGTTGTAATATTCAGTAAAAGAATCAATATGTAGCTATTTATTCTATTCATATAAATGTGATGAAGCCAAAAACGAAGGAAAATTGTACAAAGTGATTTAGAACAGAGAGCATATGGAAATGTGCATGCTTCAGTAAACACATGGAAAACCTTTCTTACTCTCTTTCTGCCCTCTCAAATATCCTCACCTCCCAGCAAAGAGGATGCAAGAGCTTTTCTCAGTTTAAATCAGTGCTTCTCAATTATTTTCTGTCATGCCCCCCTAGGAAGTTGTAAATAGTATCATTTGTCTATAAAATTGTTATAAATACACCTCTGCATAACACTGTATCCTTATTAACGTATATGAGAATAAAAAAAGAAAGAAATGTGGATCAATTTACAACAAAGAATAGCTTTATTAACTGTAGCAGAAAAGATTTAAAGGAGCACAATATTAAAAAAAACTTTAACCTGCAAAACAAAAATATATAAAATAATTTGAGCTGATTTTTTAATCAGAGGTGATGTCTGGATTAATGGCTACAATGAGCACGTTTTTCAATGCATAGCTTTTCGAAGCGGGGTTTGAAGCAGGACACAGCAACTCTCAGCTCTTTCTCAATGTGTAGCCGAGACCTGTATTTGCTTTTCAGAGCAGCAACAGCAGAGAAGCCTTTAAGTGACGACTTAATTTATTTGGCTTCATGCTGTCCGCTGCCAACATTTTTAGACATAGTAAGCACACTGGTCTTTCCTCGTCTCCCACCGTAGTCACAGTGAAGCCAAGCGCTACATACGCCTCATCATATTTCCTCGTCTTAGCCTTCGGAAGACTTTCTTTTATCTCCTTGTCTCCTTCTCTCTCCGCCTGTCTTCTCATCCCTGTTAAAAAATTTTTTTCTGTACAGAGGACCGATTTCCGGGTCTAAAAGTCACACGGGCGGGTTTGGCCAATCAGGATAGAGCATCATAGTCTATCCAATCGGGTCCTTTGCATGTGTCACGTGCGTTGGCGGTCATGTTGTCCTCCGCGTCGGGCTGCTACTGGGGCTGCGCTGGGACAATCTTCAGTGTTCGCACCGCGCTGCTCCCTCTCTTCAGCTCTAGAATTGCTAGGCAACCAATGCCGTGTGGGACGCCGCTTGCGAGTGAGTCGGATGATCCGATCTAGAAATCCAATATGACAGTATTTGCCGAGGTCAAACGAGCCCCCCTTTACGGAGCGTTGCGCCCCCCCTGGGGGGCGCGCCCCACTATTTGAGAAGCACTGGTTTAAATGAACTCTTGCTCTCATTGTCCCAAAAATTCAGCAGGTAGAACTTGGCCTTTCTTCACCAAAAAGGCAATCCATTAATTTGCCCATGTGTAATTTGGTCATCTCAGAGTATTTGCCAACGATCTTTCAGAGCAAGTTGTTTTCTGGATTTACCACTTTCAGTCTAGTCTGCTAAAGTACAAGAACCCTTGTACAAATTCCATCCTTCTGCGCCCCTACCCCCACTTTAGCTTTCCCCAAAAAATTCGACTGGCTATTTGCAAAATAATCTAAGCAGTTGCTCTAAAGCAGGGGTTTTCAAACTTGGCCCTTTTATAACTTGTGGACTTCAACTCCCAGAATTCCTCAGCCAGGGTGCCTGGCTGAGGAATTCTGGGAGTTGAAGCCCACAAGTCATATAAGGGCCAGGTTTGAAGACCCCTGCTCTAAAGGGACTAAGGCAGACATATCATACTTGCGATGTCACGTGACATTGCAGAATGTATCAGAGCTTTTTCCCCATTGCCGGCAATGGGGTGGGCGCAGTTTCCTGATGACACATCTGGCCCGTGGGCTGGCAGTTTGCCACCTCTGGACTAAGGTATCATTCTTCATTTGGCATTTACAATAGTGAAACAAATCACACAATGGCAATTTTGCCCCCACATTGGTTTTTGCTAAAGTGGCAGTAGTAGATAATGACAATGTATTTTCTAAACAAAGCCTATATTCAAGACCTTTGATCACATTTTAACCTCACTGTTCCAGCTCTACCTTTCTGTTCCAAGAAAGCCACTTCTAGAGTGAGAAGAAAAGCTGATCGATCTACTGTAAATTTGCCATTCTTCTCCTCACTTGGGCTGTCATAACAGTGTAAGAATCTAAGACTCAAATCAGCCCAGATCAATTCCAGATTCATTTTAACATGCAAATAGCAGGGCAATGTGCATTTTTCTGATTCCATGCAAACATAATCTGAGCAATTGGTTAGAACGAGAACCTGTCAAGTCACTTTACCCCTTTAAGTATTTGAAAAAACAATGTGATGCAAAGTGAGATCAGCCTGGCCTGTTGACAAACTCTTCTTTGATAGGAATAGGAAGATTTGTCTTCTTTTGGGATGCAGTTAGTTGAGATAGAAAAAAAAAATCAGAGCAGTTCCTGAAGGCATGAGCATTTGCTTAGGAACAGAAATTTCTTCCAGTGAGCTGCACTGTTTGTTAGTTAGAGGATGTATGTCAGTGTGAAGCTCAGTGACAAAGACAATTGTAGCATCAATGTCTCTTGATAAGAGAGAAGGCAGTGTGTTCGGCCACAGTATTTCCAGCTGATTAAAATAATTGGTGTTTCTTGAAAATGCTCCATGCTAATCTGGAAGGAAGATAGTTTGTTGAAGTTTGTCAGTTGAAATTATAGGTCACTGTAAGCCATTAAAGGTTATTTGTTTGTTTGTTTGTTTTCAATGTACTTTCCAAGGTGACTGTATATATTCCACTGGAGCGTGCCCTAGGGGACAATTCCTAATATACAGAAACTCATACTTTC